AAGTTTGGCTTAAAGACACATCCCAGGGGCGTTTCTGGTCCCAAAAGGCGTTTCTGGTCCCCACCTGTTGTTTTGCTCCTCAGCATGGCTTCCTAAAAACACTGCAGGATTTCTCAAATATGCATGAATGAGTCAGAGCAAGGCTTTGGGTATGCTTTTTATGTGAGTATAACAATATAACATGGCATAAAACTAAAAAAAAATAGATTTTACATGATACAGTATTGCCCCTTTAAAACCAAACCTGCAATATATCATATTCCCTTAAAATACACAATAGTTTTATTGTTAAAGAAAAAAAAGTCAAATAACCTTTTGGTTTTATTTTTATTTGAGACCATTTCAGAAACAATATAGATCTTCAATGTTCATCTACACCTGTCCTGAAAGTTCTGAAGCAGGTCCAGCTCAGCGGCACTCAACTTATCCCACAGCTTTATGAAGTTACACCTTGTGATGTGCACCATCGCATCAGCTTCCATACTACCTACAGTGACAGAACACAGAAGCAGGAATGAAAAAGTGACAAATATGGAGTAAATTATACATTACCATAAATTGTTTACCTGTGATGAGATACTCTGCCCAATCAGACTGCAAAGTGGCTAAACACTCCAAGGAAGAGTAAACAGCAACAATTTCCTCAATAGGCTGTTTGAACACCTGAATCAAAAGACAAACACATACTAAAAAAAGCTCATATGAGGACAGAATTTGATTATTTTATTCCATACCTCGATGGTATGAGTGTAATATCTGATACTTTTCATTGCTCCACTGTCAACCTCTGCCTTTCCAGTGACATATGCCCTGATTACTACAAAAAAAACATAAGCCTCACATTTACAGGGAGATTTAGCACACAATCAGAACATCCCCATTAAAAATGTTGACTAAACTTACCAAAATCTGGGTTGCAGAGAGCCTGGAAGGCAGGCATCATACAGTGGCAGATATCTGCTGCTTCTGCTCCTGCCTCCACTCGCCAAAGAAACAGAATGGCCAGAGAGATGAAARAACTCTTCATTATCTGAGTCATATTTGGAAACTTAAAGATGATGAAAATGGTGACAGCTTTCAAAGACAAATGCAGAAAAGCAGAAAGCAGATTTTTTTAATCTCTTAACAGAGCAGTGAGTTTTATAACCCATTGTTGCTAACAGGCTCTGCCCCTCCTGAGGTGAGCGTCCCTTTGAAGGCCGATCTCCTGCATGTTTTAGAGGTTTCTCTGATCATTGGATCAGAAAAATTAGTTTGCTGATTTCTCTGATCTAACAAACTCTCACTATGTTTGAAACATAAATGGAAGAATTTTAGGCCCTGTTTACACAAGACCAGTCTCTGCAAATGCTCACGTTTACTGAGGTGAATATACAAAAAAATCACCCAGTTACATGGAACCACTGCAGTAATGTATCAGGCAAGGTTGCCAAATAAGACGTAGTAAAGTGTTTAACTGTTCTCTAGGATGCTCTTAGTGTTTTGCTTTTACAAGCTGCAAAGGGTGAGTAACACAAAAAACCCCAGATGTCTGTAATTTGTTGTAATTGTTGTTAGTTTAAAAGAAACTTTTGCTGTGTGCCGGTGATTTGAACATAAATGTGCTTTCACAGCTGCTGGGTGCTTCTCAAAATCTCCACTCTGAGACCAGGATTCAGAAATCTCCAGGTTCAGAGAGAAACACAGTTGGTGTCGTGTACACGATCGGCCGAACTGCAGAAAAGAACCTGTGGTTTCACACAAAATCTGCATCGTGTGAACAGGGCCTTGGATTGGATCATGACCAGAGGTAGCAGTTCAACAGTCTGAGTCAGCTTTGGAACTAAAAAATGTCAAAAATGGAGCCAGCTGTCAAAGAGTGATGAAATCAATCTTAAAGCAGCTTAGACATTTTAGTAGTTCTCCTCTTGAACAGAATCCTCAAGGTACATCAGGCACCACCGCCTTGCAGACAAAAAGCTCCACAAAGCATTGAGAGGTCAGGAG